CGCACGTACGCACACACCCACACATGCACGCACGCGCACACACACACACATGCCTGTAGTGTTTCCAGCAGGTCGTATGTGGTAATCGGAGGCTTGGCCGGGGCCAAGCCTCCTCCACAGGCAACCTGGTAGATTGCTTCCTCCTCCCCCATCTCCCTGGTAGGTCTGGCAGATGCCATTTGCACTCCCTGGTTGGAGAATGTCACATTACTGAAGCAAAACAACGCACCTGTATGTGAAGCAGAACCTACAGACACGTAACTCTGTGATATCATAGCCATGACACAAGTCAGACTAATTTCGCCAATGTAATAATGGTATATTGATATTTCTTTATAGTTAGTCGCTAACGAACTAACATAGCATGAATGCTTTCCTGCTGATCACAGATGGCTACTGGACATACCTATCGGTGTCATAGTCATACACATGTCGTGTGTTTCTCAAGTATGGGTTCGGGACATCACAACCCAAGGCAAATTTAAAGCCTCCGTCTCTAATTTTGTAGGCATTTCTTCTGCTCAATAAAGCACTCAGAATGTTTTTCAACATCGCCTGAAATGGCCAGAGAATGCATCAACCAATGAAAGAATATGCTCATTCTTCTTGGTGCTTGTGCCTAGTAGAGTGATCATATCAAAACTTTCATATTTTCACTGAATTTGACAATCTAACTGTTACTATGATCAAATTTAGCACTAATAATACATAAATAACCTTGTTATCAAAATATTGCAAAAGTTGTCCCCTCACCATACAGACAGCTGTATAAAAGCAGCTTAACAACTTGTAATGAAATACACCAGACTTCGGCGTACAAACGAGAAGATGCGAGTGACGCACGTTTGATTTTCGGTCCAATACGCCGCTACGGCTTTGTGACACACCTGCGATTACCTCGGTTGCTAGCTGGACTGATTTGATCGCACCCTCCTCCACCTCCTCAAGACCCATTTCCCACGCGATGACGAACATCCGGCCATGCAACATCGACACGTCCGGCAGCGTCAGATCTCTGGAGCAAAATCCGAGGCTCTCCTCCCTGTGCACTTCTTTCTGTACGACTTGCGGTGTGTACCGAAGAGGTGGCTCAGCAGCAAACCGATGCTGTACAGACGAAACGAAAAGTCAAGCCCAATTCAAACACGACTGCATCGTACGCTAATCTATTCATGCAGAAAATGTTGCATTACCAAGGGTCGAAATTAGATTTTCATTATAGTATCCATTCGGGATACCAGGTATTGAAATCTGGTATCCCCCTCAAAGATCTGGTATCCCATTTTTTGGATAGTAATTTCAACAATGTTGGTATCCAAAATCTTGAAATATGCAATTAGCATTTGAAAATTATTAATATGTAATGTAATTATTATATAAAAACATGAAAACAGATTCACAGATATGCACAGACAAGTACATTGCAGACGTATTGTCTAGACGCATTGTCTGGTTCGCTTGATACAATGTATACACATCCCATTTATGATCAACATCGGCCACGCTTACGCTTGCGCTTGCAAATATGCTATGCCTGCTGTAGATGCGCTGCCGTATAAAGTTGATAACTCAACAACCACTATCCCGATTTTTGACGATTTTGTTTACTATCCCGGCGGGATACCAAGCATTGAAATCTGGTATCCAACACAAAAATCTACTATCCCGCGGATATCGAGATACCGCTAATTTTGACCCTGGTTACATAGAAGACATCTGATACCGTTGCCTTATGCAGGTGTTTTATGTTATAATATGCGTATTCAGAAGTTTGTATGAATTGGGCAGCACTGCACATCATGCAACATTTGGCCTGTGCAAACATTAGGGTACAACACATGCATGATGACCTTGAGGATTTAACCTTTGACTTGGATTTTAGTCATACAGGTTAACAACCTTTGATAAGAAAACTTAATAATAAAAATGTAAAAGTAATAATAAACTCATACATTGTGGCTTCTGACCCTGTATGTATGTATCAGACATGATTTATGAGGGGATCCTAAACAGGATGTCTAGAAACTATAATGAGTTATTTCCAAATAATTTTTTCATCTTCCATTTGTATAACAGGTCTGCGATAATATTACCTCGAAACTTGCCCTGGCAGCTTTTGACCTTTTCTTTGCCTTTTCTTTTTTCGTCATGACTTTGTGCAGAGGTTTTTTCGGTGCAGAAGTTGCAGAACTTTCTTGGGAAACTAAAAACACAAATGACCATGATATAACCGAGTTACTTATCAATGCAGCATAAACACGTACTGAATACAGAATTATGTTTAGCTATAAATTTTGATTAAATGTGTAGCTGGCATTATAGTGCATGTATATAATTTGAGTGTATTATTTATGCTGAAGTGTTATTCCAAGTATAATTGACATACTAGGTTGAAGTCCAGGAATTTGGCATCGGTTAAGGATTGCTAACAGAAATTCATTGTGCAAGTGTTCCTTGTTGGGTGTGAATAACTTCCGTGCCTCCATGTCAAACTCCTCCTTAGATATCTTTTCTTTAAACCACTGCTTCATGATAGAAAAATATCTGTAAAAAATGGTATATGTATAGTTACTAACCGTGACTTCACATTACAACTTTTAAGCCTGGCGCACACGTGCAATGTCTGGCTGTTTGACACCTGTGTGTCCAATCACTGTCACTGAATCAGGTGATCAAATATTTTTGATATTGGCTATGGAGCGAACAGTCAATGTTCCGATGTGGCACTCGCCGCACCGTCTCGTGTAAATCACCCATGACCGTGCGTTCTTTTATTACGATGCATGCGAAGTGTTGAATGTGGATGATGTACATGTATAACATCAGTCTCAGAGATGTCAAGTTTGATAAATAGTTGTAAGTTGAGACTGAGACTCATCGTTGGGCGGTTGTTTAGACACTTCCTAACAGAAAAGTTATTTGTCAAGACAGCCTTTGAATATTTCAACCTAATACAAACTGCGCGACGCTGAAATGTGCTTACATCTTTGAATTATCACCCAAAAACTCGGTTAGTTTGTTTTTTGCAATTCCGAGTTCAGTGGAAGACGCCATATTGAAATAATAAAATGCATCTAGAGATGCATCACGCGCTACTGATACACTCGCGCATTAGTAGGGCCTATTTTTAATCAAATGAATGTCATTGACAACTTCAAATTTATGTTTAATGTATGTAGCTGTAGGTAACTTTTAGTCCGTACCTAATTTACCACAGGTGATTTCTTTTTAAAAATTGCGTCGTGAGTTATGATCGGTGACAGGTAAGTTTTCCCAGTTCGCGTTGCGATGGCTGAGGATTCACATGCCGGTGAATGGTGTCTTATTGAAAGTGATCCTGGAGTATTTACAGAGCTTATTCGAGGATTTGGTAACATATCTAACATACATCAGCCATATCCATTAACAATCTAATTTAATTGGCAGGTGGTGGTAGACCTAACTTGCCACATACGATGGTAAAATTGAGCCTACTCTACGTCAGTAGACAGTACGTCACGTGCACCTGGCTTTAGCTCCAAGAAACGGTCTTGCTCACACTCACAGGCGCTTGGAGCGTTTCAATAAAATATATTGCTAAATAAATACGAAATCTATTTACTACCAAAGTCTTAATGTTTCTATACTCTTTTTCGCCTAGATTAGTATTGCTGATAGTGATAGGGTCTATGTCCCCCGGGGTACTGCCGGAACGTACCCTGGTACTATCTAATAATATGCCGAACCGTACCTCGCCTACTCCATTAACGAGTCTAGGGAGTCGCCTACGCCTACTCCCTGACCCGAACCCGAACCCTAACCCTAATCGTAACCCTAACCCTAACCATATCAAATAGTGACCAGGTAGTTCAGTATACCCGGACCGTACCCAGGTACGTACGGCAGTAACTGGGGGAGATAGACCTATTACACATTGGTATTATTAGCGCAATTTCTCAAATGCTGTCCAAATATGTATATTGCAACAAACGCTGGCTGCGTGCACCTGACCATAAATATATAGCACTAGGAGGAAAGGTTTGCAAATTCGCATGACGCCCGTTGATTAACAGAATACACACAATATTCACAATTATACCTCATCTTTGTTCTATTGAAGAAATGTTAACTTGTTATAAAAAATCGCAACATACGTCTGTGTTCGTAACGAGCTGTGTACGCGAAATAATCAAAGCTGACCGAAATTATGAGCTTCACTCCGTTGGCAGTTATTAAATGCTGGACAGTCAGGGCTATATGCGGCGAATGCATTTTGGGAACTACCACGCTGCTTTCGCTCCCGGTACGACCTCGTCAAAGCGCCTGTTAACGTTGCAAAACTTGGCAGCTTTGCGCGCAAAGTGAGGTCCCGAAGGCGCCGGTGGGTGTTATCCTGAATCTGACAGCATTTTACATAAAGCTGTGCAGTGATCGAAAGCGAGAATTTTCTTCAGGCTTGTGTGATTAACAGTATCTGACATAGTCAGATCAGCTTGTATAATCGATGATAGTCTTCGTCGT